AGAAAAAACCTCCAAAAAGCCATTAGAAGAACCTCTAAAAGCCATCAGAAGTACCAAGTATCCTAAATAAATACCAAAAAGTCATCAGAAGAACTTCCAAAAGTCATCTAAAAACACTAAAAGTACCAAGAATCCAGAAAGAAATACTAAAAGGTCATCAGAAGAACTTCAAAAGCCACTAAAAAATGCCAGAGTATCAAGAATCCAGAAAGAAACACCAAAAAGTCATCAGAAGAACCTTCAAATAATGTTGAAAATACCAAGAATCCAAAAAGAACCTCCAAAAAGCCATCAGAAGAACCTCTAAAAGCTATCAGAAGTACTAAGTATCCTGAATAAATACCAAAAAGTCATCAGAAGAATTTCCAATATTTGCCAAAAAAAACATCAAGAATCCAGAAACACCAAAAAGTTATCAGAAGAACCTTCAAAAGTCACCAAAAAATACTGAAAGTACCAAGAATCCAGAAAGAAACACCAAAAGGTTGTCAAAAGAACTCCAAAAGCTACCAAAAAATGCCGGAATTACTAAGAATTCAGAAAGAAACACCAAAAAGTTATTAGAAGAACCTCCAAATAATGCTAAAAATACCAAGAATCCAGAAAGAACCTCCAAAAAGCCATCAGAAGAACCTCCAAAAGCTATCAGAAGTACTAAGTATCCTGAATAAATACCAAAAAGTCATCAGAAGAACCTTCAATATTTACCAAAAAATACCAAGAATCCAGAAACACCAAAAAGTCGTCAGAAGAACCTCCAAAAGTCACCAAAAAATGTTAGAAGTACCAAGAATCCAGAAAGAAATACTAAAAGGTTGTCAGAAGAACTCTAAAAGCCACTAAAAAATGCCAGAAGTACCAAGAATCCAGAAAGACCTCCAAAAAGCCATCAGAAGATCCTCCAAAAGCCATTAGAAGTACCAAGTATCCTGATTAAATACCAAAAAGTCATCAGAAGAACTTTCAAAAGTTATCAAAAAATGCTGGAAGTACCAAAAATCCAGAAAGAACTACTAAAAGGTCATCATAATAACCTCTAAAAGCCACAAAAAAATGCCGGAAGTACTAATAATCCAGAAAGAACTACCAAAAAGTCATCAGAAGAACTTCCAAAAATGCCAGAAGTACCAAGAATCCAGAAATAACCTCGAGAAAGAAGCCTAAAATCTAAAATTCACCAAAAAATATTGTAAATACTAATAATCCAGAAAGAAATACTAAAAAGTCATCTAAAAGCCACCAAAAAATGCCAGAAGTATAAGAATCCAGAAAAAATCACCAAAGAGTGCTAGAAGTACCAAGAATCTAGAAAGAGCCTCCAAAAATCATTAGAAGAACCTTCAAAAGCCACCAGAAGCACCCAAGAAGCTTCAAAAATCATCAGAAGAACCTCCAAAAGGAACTAAATGTCATCAGAAGAACCCAAAAAGAATTACTACAGAATGATGAAAAAGCTTACTATTAAATGAATAAAATCATGTTAAAGAAGAAACCATTTTAAAAATGAAATCGAAAAACATCACCATAAAGCAACAACCTAAAAAAATAAGAAACCATAAAGAAACCACTATTGAAAGTGAAAGATATCACCACTTAAAATTAATTAAAAAATCACGCTACTTTTAAAAAAATCATGTAGATAATAAACTAACATCTATTAATGAGACCAGTTTTTTTTATTTTTAGAATATTTCGTAAAAAAAGGTTAAACAACATAAACTTTCATAACTTAAAATTTTATTAATTAATCAGGTTTTCATTATTAAGTAAAAAATATTTGTTGGCAAAAACTCTATTAAATTAATCAAAAAGATTATTTTTAAAAAAATTGTCAGACTGCCCATATGATTCTATAAACATTAACAACTTTTTTGGTAATATGATTCTATAAACTACTATAAGAAGAGTATACAATTAGCTATATATGTAACTTTTTCTATATTACCTATTTAAAAAGTCTGTCTAAAAGTTTCTTACCAATTGCTGTACCTAATACCTTTGCTTGAATGTTTTATTTTAAACCCTCTAAACCTGCATCTGTGTTAATATTACTGAATCAAGCTCAAGTTATTGTCTCAATCTTAGGACTATTTTATCTTTAAAGTAAACCTTTCAAAGCCTTTTGTACCTATTTTTACAGCTAACCTAGATATTGCTATGACAAAACTAACACTTGTGATCAGAATTATATTATTTAACTCTATGTCCTTATAGAGTTCACTCAAACCTTAATATCTACTTTATAGCATAACCTTAGTACTTTAGTATACCTCTATCTTTTTATCAGACTTCCAATCCAGATGCTTGTATAGAACTACAACTAGTCTATTAATATATCAGATTATTTTAATACAGTCAGACCCCCTTAAATGCATGATATAAGCCTGGTTTGTGATGGGCTTTATAAATAAATACATGTTCTTTATTCTGTAAGTGCATGACATTTTTTTGGCCTGTTAATAATAGGCTTCCACCATAAATGCATTCACGTGATTGCAAACCAATCAAATTTATTTGCATGATTTTGAATTGTAATCCATGGTAAGGCTAGTACATATTTGTAATAGTATAATATTTGCATAAATCTAATTTTATCAAATAGCATATATAATAATTAATAGAGCATAATCTATGCATCAAGTGAATAGTTTGGAGCAAAAATTTGTTTGTATTTAAATGATTACATTTTTCATATGTAGTTACATATTCCTACTTACTCACATAATCCACAGCATATTTTAAAAAATCTATAACATAATTTTGCATAAATGGTTGATAAAGCGAGCAGATTTTGGGGTTTGATGCAGCAGAAAGTTATAATCCCTAATCTGTAGTATCCGATCATGATCCATGATGTGAACAATAAAACAATGCCTGATTAGCATTATTGTACATTCCTTAAAGTGCAATTTTAAGCATTTACTAAAAGATATAACAGGTTTATTAATTTATTAATTGTTGAGTATCATGGAATGCTGCACTATATAACATACTGTATAAGGGAAGAAGGTGACTTCTATCCTAAAATCCTGAAAATCAAGTCCTGAAACTTAATTGTTGCACCATGTAATAATATTTGACTGATTAGTTATCACCATTGTTATTATTATAAGATGTTATCATATATGCAACAATTAAGTTTCAGGATTTTGATTTTTAAGATTTTTGAGTAGAACTCTTCGGTACCAATACCTGACTTTTATATTCCAAGTTTGTATAAAAAAATTTTAATGAAATAAATGAAGTAATTCAACCAAATGTTGGGGATTCCATTACATATTTATTTATCTGACACTGTCAATTATTCTAAAGTCAATCACAACTCAAAAAAAAAAAACTTATAGCATAAGAAAATCAGTAGATCTAGTTAAAGTCTATTTCAAGATATTCTTATTAGAGGCTTATTCTTGCATCTTATATTGAAAACTTATATCAAGAGTTACTTATATTAATGATTATAAAAATTCCTTACTATTGAATTGAATCATTATAGAACTTAAAAATTCTTGTGCACATAACCATATATCACATTTTTAGTTTTTATCAGCTCTCAAGCATTAAATTAAATCCCTGTCCAACATTGTTCATTAGACTTTGATTGCTTTTAATAGTCCTTAAGCATTAGATTAACACTTCCCAAACAAAATTTCAAAATAACAATAATATGCCTTAAGGAAAATACTTACCTTACTTGGCATCACTATTTAAGTCATATAAAATGTCAAAATTCTACAATGTGTAATTTTCTCATATCAAATTTTTTTATTTTATTTTATTTTTCTTTTTTTGTGAGGACCATACAAAAAAAATAAAAAAAATAAAAATTTGATGCGAGAAAATTACATATTGTAAAATTCTGGATGCACAATTCCCATTTAATAATTTTGCAGAAGAAACAGAATTTACTGTATTTTAATATAAAGCCTTATAGTTAGCAAAATAAATAAATAAATAAATAAAATTAAAGGTTTAAAATAGAGATAATAAAAAAGAGTTAATTCATTATATTTATTTAATAAAACTTATCTCTATAAATTATCATAATGGTAGTATATCTTCTAAAAAGTAAGTAGGAAAAACTACACTTAGCAACAAACAGAGGAAAGAAATTATTAATTTTAAAGATAAAACCCTAATATTAGCCATGTTGATCTTGCTGTATGGGTAAAAAAAAATATAATCTTGATGTTCACTTGACTACTATTGGACATTTAATCAAAAATAAAGACAACATTGGTAATAATCCCTTTAAAAAAAGACAAAGAACAGTTTAATATCCAACCTTGACAATACATTGCTTGAGTGGGTTCTACAAAACCAAGACCGAATTATATTAAGCAATGCAATTCTAATTGAAAAAGCCAAAATTTTTGTTCAAATGTTAAAAATACCTGATGGTGACCTTAAGTTTTTGCATAGGTAGTTATTTAAGTTATTTAAGTTCAAAAAAAGGCATGGTTTAGGACAAATAAAAAAGCATGAAGAAGATGCATCCATAAATGATAGTAAAGTTTCAATAGCCCTTTCTTAGTTAAGATAGGTGTTAAAAGAATACGATTTAAAAAATATTTACAATATGGATGAAACAAAGCTATTTTATCAATATATAATAATAAATAAGTAACACCAAGAGAAAACAAGACTTCGATTATATAAATTTTATATAATCGAAGTCTTGTTTTCTCTTGGCATCACCCAAATTTCTACAAATCGGTTAATACATATTAACATATTCATTTTTTTAGTCTTGAGCCAGATATTACATTAGCAACTGTTCATCTTAAGGGTAAAAAAAAAGATAAAAAATAATTAACTGTGGCACTTTGTGCCAATGCTGATAGGACAAATAAAATAAACCATTTGTAATAGGTAAGTCTTCCAACCCACAATGCTTCAAAGGTATCAAATGTAACAAGCTTGGTGTCAAATATGAGTTAAGTAGCAAGGCATAGATGATGAATGTAATATATCAAATGTAGCTTAAAGAATTTGACTTGAAAATGGCTGGTCATAAGGTAATTCTTCTAGTGATAATGCCAGGAGCCATTCTTCCAGTAATTTAAACCTTCACAATACTAGCATCCACTATCTTTCTCTGAACATGACATCTTATATACAACCTCTAGATGCTGGTATTATTATGTCTTTTAAACATTGCTACAAAAGTTACTTTATAAAATGGATGCTTGATCAGTATGAATCCAGAAATGATAAAAAATTAAATATTCTTTCTGCTATAAAGTTTATTGTTCAGGCATGGAAAGAGGTATCATCAGAAACAGTATGTACATAGAATGGTTATCTTTTTTTAATAAAACAAAATTATTGTTGCAGCTGATGCTAATATTTGGAATCTCATTTGAAGTTTGCCAAACTTACTAAAATCCACATATACCCTTTTATTAACAATTATAACCATGAATTCTAATTTTAATCCTAAAAAAAACTAAAAAAAATATGTCTATTAGTTATTTTAAATATTTTAAATTAAAATAATTACAAGTGAATCTTGATATATAAAAGGTAGTCAGGTCCATAGTAAAATTTTACAAACTTTCTTATATTGAAAGTTTATTGATATTTTATATCAAGTGAATTTATTATAGACCAGTTTTGGCTTAACTTTGTTATATTGATAGTTCAGTTAGTCCTTCTTATATTGAAGGTTTCTCATATCAAAAATCATTTGTAAATAGCACAAGCAATTAAAAAATTTTTAAATTATGTTAAAGTTTGAAAATGAATTTCACCTATCTGTAGATATGTAATTGCTCCTGGCATACAAAGATTCTTTCAGTTGTTCAAAATAACGAACCTACTAATGATAACAATGAAAATGAGTTAATTGAAGAAATGCAAGTGGATATTGAAGCACTACATTTCTGAAATATAATAGAGATCAGGAAATCCTAATCTTAGTTACCAATATAGAATCTAAAAAGGTTCCAACTAAAGATGACAATAGTGAAGAGGACAAAGATGACAGTAAAGAAATCTCTGTAATTACCCACCATGAAGTGTTAAATGCTGTTAAGGTGCTGAAACAATTCCTTATGCAACAGGATCTAAGTGATACAGCCTGGTTAGATCATGATCAATCATTACTAAATTTGCAAAAGGCAATTAGAAACCTTCAAAATGTGTCTTTTAAGCAAGTGAATCTTGAAACCTTTTTCCAGATCGACTGTTTAATTGAGTAACAAGTAAATTAGTAATTTTTTTTTCAGATTAGGGATTATAAATAAGTAGATTGTAAAATTTATTGTTACATATAAATAAAATAATAAGTTATAGGCTAAAAAGTTGTTTATACATAAGCATTAAAAATATTTAAATTTACTTGTTTTGTGAACTTGTTTAAAGATACATATTGATAGAACTGTAGAACCTAATAATTAGATATCACATGACAGATGATGTACTGCGATCTTATTGGCTATTCCCTAATTGCGGCCACCCTAAATGCATGCTTTGGAGGTGGTCTTGACAATGTGCATTTCATTCTAGCAGTCTGGTTGGTGATACCTCTAAGATACCCAATTTAGAGGTTCTTATTCATCTGGGTACTACAACCTTGATATCTGTTTTTTCAGGCTTGGGTTTTCTCAAATGAACTTTTGTTTTTTAATTTCAATAGATTTACATAACTACAAGGACTTATTTAGAGTTTGTACTGCCTGATACCAGTTTGCATTTCTTTGTATAACCAGTTACACAAATGCTTCATGATCTGCCAGTCATGCTAGTAATCACTATTACAGTTATTTTAACTTAATTATCAAAAACAGGTATTATAATATGAATATTACATAGCTGATTATTTAAATTTTTGCCATTGATAGGATTTGAACACCCAACTTACTACTTAAAGGATTAACAACTTTTCTACTTTACTAAGTCATCACACCTCTAGTTTAATTTTATTTATTTAATTATAGTTTTGGTAATATTGTAATAAAATTTAATATATTAAAATTGTATTATTATTATTATTTTTAACTTAGGCAGCCTTGCCAATTATCTTTATTAAGATTATTATATACATACTGTACAAAGTTGGCTTAAATTTTGGTTCAACATCCTCTGACTACTTCTGTGAGTGCCTAGGAGTAGTCTGCTGCATAGGTTAGAGAATTATCTCTGGCCCAAGGCTATATCAAGCTAGCCAATAAAACTCTGAAAAAAGAGGCTTACATTTCTATTTACAAAACTAAAAACTGAATCAAGCCATGTTTCCTGAATTTGAACTTTGTTCTTCTTATTATTTTCCTTCATGTCTTGATTTTGTTTATCTATATTTATAACTTTTTCTTCTTTCTATGTTTTTTGCTTGGGAGATTTTGTTTTTGTTATTGTTTTTCTTTTTAATTGTGTTATTAATTTCTACTAATTTTTCCTAATTGGCAATGATATTACAATGTTTTTTCTATATATTTTCAAAAATTCCATTCCATGCTGCATTTGTAAATGTTATAAAATTCTTGAATTCTTTTAAAAATTGTGTTATATCTTATAACATCTTCTTAGTTTTTTTTTGTACTAGCCCTTTGATGATTTTGGATTTGCTTGCTGATCTTTCTTCTTTTAAAGTTCTTTAGAAAAGCATTTTAAGTTCTTCTTTACTTGTTTTTCTATAGGTTTCTTTTTTGTAAGTACTGTTCATGCCAAATCAATTGCTATATTTTCTGTAATATCTTATTTCTTTTCATACTTTTTGCATGTTGCTAGGTGGTCTTGATCCTCTTTGTGGTCTTTATTACATAGTATACAAATTGCATTTTTGTATAAATCTGGTCATTTTTGTGCCAAGATCTTGAGTACAGATAGCTTTTCATTTATGCATTTAATTAATGTTGCTAATTTTCTGTTTCTCTTCATACTTGTGCATCTTGTTCACTCTGACCTTTAATGTTTTGCTACAGTGTTAACTAATTGTGTTTTTCTTTTTTTATATTTGGTTCTGTTTTTAAATTGATGATATAAATCTCTATTCTGCTCTAACTTTAAGTTCTAGTACATTTTTGATAAATAGTTCTAGTACATTTTTGATAAATTTTCTTATCAGTCTTTTGATTACTAAATTCATTTAGCAGAATGAAACATTTAAATTTAGAGGTAGTACTTCTATTATTCTATTAAAATTATCTATATTACCCTTCTTTTTTGCTAATTTATCTGCTCTATCATTCTAACTATAACCTTTATTTTAACTAAGTCTAATTCTAATTCCTTTAAACTAAGTATCTCTAGTATACTCTTCTTAAGATTATAGTTCTTTTTTTTGATCCAATGCTTGCTTGACTTTAACTTTTTTCCTCTATTAAGACCTACTATTGCCACTGTGCTGCCAGTATAAATTTTAACTTTTTTCTTTTTTGGTATTATTAAAGCATATATTAAATTGCAAGTAATTTTGATTTTGTTAATGAAGACCAGTTTCATATACCTATTGTATTTTTATCAATTACTTTTTCTTTTTTAATATCTACTTGCATCCACTCTATTTCTATATAATCACTCTTTACTGAATTTTTTGTTAATGCTTTCTTGAGCAAACCATCTGTATAAAAAATTAGCTCTTTGTTGTTTTCTAGTTTGTTTCTTTGGTTTTTATAAACTAGCTCTTCTTTAAGCACTTAACTAAGTTGTTGTTTCTTAATAAGTTCTATGTCTAAGTCTTCATATATTATTTCTTTAACTGTGCTTTCATGTTTGCTTGGTTTGATTGACTTATTGTATTCCAATTCACATATTATTTCTTGCTCTACTTCAAGTTTGGGCACTTCTTTCTTACTCTGTTCTATTATTTTGCTATTATATTACTATTATGTTACTCATATTAACAAACCTCCTGTTATTTTACTGTTATTCTGCCATTATTTGGTGAATATAAGGTAGAATAATAGCAGATTTTTTTTCTGTTATTTACCTATTATACATCCTTTATTTATTCATTCAATCTGTGATAATTTGCAAAAAAATTATTTCTAACTACCAACAAGGATTCATTTCTGAAAGATCAATAACAAATATAGTCATAGATATAATTATCATATTAAGAAACCAACTAAACAATTTTAAACAACGCTAGATGCTTTTGGTAGATCAGCAAAAGGCATTTAACAGAGTAAATTATGACTTTCTAAATCTGGTTTTAAGAAAAATGAAGTTTGACAAAAAAATAACCAACTTGGTAGCCAATCTCTTTTTGAACCAAATGTCATATATTATAGAAACCAATGTTCTGTCTGAACCTTTTAGAGTGAAAGAGGAGTATGACAAGAGGATCTACTTTCTCTTTTACTATATATGCTTGTTTTTAAATCACTACTTATATAACTAGAAAGAAACATCTAAGTAATTCTCTTAAAAAACTAGTTCTTTAGACTGTCAGCTTATGCAGATAATTTAACAATAGGAATAAGCTCATTATCAGACTGGATAACAAACCTACCGAATAATTGATTGTACGGACAATTAATTGCAATATTTTGAACTCAATTAATTGATTGATGGCACAGTCACAATGAGTCAATTAATTGTGATGAATTATTTATATGACGAATAAGAGTTCACTAATACATTTAATTAGTAAATTATTATTTGTCACATATAATGATTCATCGCAACTATGTAATTAATTGCAATTAATTGCAATTATTTTGTCACTAATTGGGTTTCAATTAATTTCATGATAATTTTAATTGATTTTAATTGTATGACATATAACAAAAATTAATTTTAATTAATTTTTCGGTAGGCCTGCTGGATAAGCATCATGCAACTTTTTGAAACCTATAAAACTGCTTCTAATGCAAAGATTAACAAGAACAAAACCAAATTAGTGCCTCTTATAAACACAGCCTGCAGGATTGAACTTGAAAATAAATCCCAATTTACTAAAACTACAGAACAGGAAACACTAATGATTCTTAGGTATGAAGTGAATACAAAAGACATCCCTAAAAAAGACCTATGAACAACAACAATCACTAGGATAAAAAAACACTAGAGAAATTATCTAACTGAAACCTTTCTTTTAAAGAAAAAATTCTTTTAGCCAAGGCACTTATACTTTTATAAATATGGTATGCAGCATACCTGACTTTACCAAGTAAAAAACAGATTGCAAAAATCAATAGACTTATGACATTTTAGATTAAAAACAACTTTAGAATGCTGTCTAGATACTCTATATTCTAACAATCACTTGAACAAAATGGCCTTTAAGCCCCAAAAGTAGAAGATATGCTAGATGCTAAACTAATTTTAGCATAGCAAAAAAACTTCTTACTAGTAACTTTACATAGGCCAAATATGAAAGAAAAAAGTCACAGAAACCTTATTTAAAAAAAGAAATATATCAATAAATCAGGCGCTAAAGACAGACATAATTAGGTCAAAAGCCTGACCAAAAGAATAAAAACTATATCTCTTGCCTTGAAAAAAAGCCAAAGACAAAGTTACTGCAACAATAAACTGGCCTTGAAAGCTCAATAGATAAACTTAATGAAGAACTTTCAGTCAAGAAAATTATTGAAATTCTAAAAAAGAGACTGGCACTTGAACTACCTAGTTCTAGCCAACAACACAACTGGATTCTTGTTAAGAAAACAATTAACAAGAGAAAAGATATTTTATGGTGCCTTTTTCATAAAGCTTTATTATTAGAATACCAACTGCAATATATAAGTCTTTTTATTACAGAAAGCTGCCCCTTGTATAACAATGAGCTACAAACTGCTGAGCATTTTGCACTCAAATGCAAAGATAGTAAGCAATAATCCACTCTTTTGTTGTATACAAATATAATATACAAAATATGGTGCACCTACACCTCTTTTAAATAGTGAGACAGCAACCTCTCAAGCAGAATTCTATCCCTAATAGTAATCAAACATCTCTGCAAAGACATAATACTCTGTACTACAATCTGAAAAACTGTTCCCAAAAAATGAAAAAATTTACTTCTAGATTGCATTCACAAAGTTGCTAGTTCAATTCCAACTGAAGAAAAAAACTGTGCTAGAATCACAAATGTTCATGGTCTTAAGGGGATTTCCTATTTTTACTTTTAGACAAGAGTACTATAGCAACAAAACAAATTGTTTGACATGGCTACAGAGTCACATGATTCTCAAATAAAGAGGTAATCTGACAAGAAATGTCGATAACATAAGGGTTTCCAGATTAAGAAAAATCATGAAAAGATATACCAAAAGAAGACAGAACCTGTAAGACCATGTTGATAGAGAACTGCAAACCTTGAAGTCAGAGGTCTTACTTGTGAGGCTAGGGACTCAGGTTACTATAAGTAAACTTGTTAGCATATGGTATGAATGGACTAGAAAACACTACTGGTAATGTATGTAGTAACAATATATATAAAGTTGTAGGAACCAAATAAAATAATACCTTAATAAAAAAAAGCACCACCTGTGCTCCTAGTTGCAAGAACAACAGAGATATTCAAAATATATATATATATATAAATGTATACAATATTCTTAATAATTTGATTTTAATAAAAGAGTACTACATGTAGCTCTAGGTATTAATACCAGGGATAAAAAAAAAAAAATCTCAGTATGTAGTTGAAACAAAAGATCTATATACACTTTTTCAGGCTATACAAGTTTGGAAGCTAAGTAAAACTAAACAAAAAAATAAACCACAATAGCAAGAAAACAAATTTAAAAAAGATTTTAAAACAAGAGCACTTGTCTTTGTTACAAGAAAAAAAATCTTTTAAAGCATTCAACAGTACAAAAAGCCTTAGTACTATGGCAAAAAAATGAAAACAACAACAAACACAGATAAGAAAATCATCAAAAATATAAAGCCTATACAAGAAGAAGGCAATAATTCAGATTTACTAGAGTATACTAACAAAAGCAATCCTAGCTAAGATAAACAAGTAGCTCAAGAAGCTAAGAAACTTAAAAAAATAACAAATACATATAAGAAGAATAGAATATACTTAACAAAAGAAACAATTTCATCAGTAGAAAAGAATGCCATGTAACAACAATACACATAGTAAAGAGGTCTTTTTGAAACTAGTACATGTAATAAAGATAACATCAAAACAACATGTAGCAAAGAGGGTTTTGAGACCAGTACACATAATGAAAATAATACTGAAACAATAATACAAAATAATTCAATAAATAAACAAAATGACTACTTTGAAAAAGAATTCTACTTCAAGCTTTAGTAGAATAACTGAACCATTAACAAAAAAATGATCAAGTTTCTTTCCTAAACTCAAAAGAGGCCAGTTAACTTACTCATTTTTTTCTTCTAAGAACACAATTAAGTCAAAAAATAAAAATGCCTTTATCATAAATATACAAAGCCTACAATGCTCTTTTAATGAAATTATGTTATTTTTATTTAAAACTGCTAACATATCATCATTGCAGCTAAACAACACCTTACTAAAGGAACATAATCATATTTGGAAATAATCTTCACAGACAAAGAAAAACTAAAAAACAGAAAATTATTTTTGCTAACTAAAATCAAAAACATCCTATTAGGCAACAAAGAAGAACTGTCAGACTAAATTAAAGATGCTTTTGAGAATATAGATAAAATAGCATCAATTAAGCCTCTGTTGATTGAAGGTACATCATACCTAACAGATCAGTATGTTATAATTTTTGAAACCACAAAAAATCCCTTTTTGAAAGGTAAAGAAAGTACTTAGGTTTACCTACATTTGGAATAACAAGGTTACAACAGAGTAAAAGGCAACTGCAAAAGTGCATTACTTTTGTGAAAAGAAAGGGCATATTAAAAAAGAATGCCAACTATTTCAGAAATCAGTAGCTCTCTGTTAACAATATCAACTTTAAAAAAAGAAGTGGATCATATAGCAAAAAAAATTTTAAGAAGATCAGGTTTGAACAAAAGTCTCATGCAGCTAATCTTGCTAACAAGAAAGAAAACCCATACTTGCAAGACAATATGCCTATTACTGAAGATGCAGACTTACAAGAAAAGCTTTAGTACAAAATAAACAAAATGGGCCTTTTTTACTTTTAATAAAAATAGACAACAATAAAGAAACTTTACATCAAATAAAGATAAAAACCTCCTATTTGACTCAGTACTAGCACTTAATGATGAACTGGCTGCACTGTATCTTATCTCAAAATTACATACAGAAAACAAAAACTCATAAAACAATATCTATAATGAAAGTTGACAATACAGGCTGCTCATACATTACTCAAACTATAGAACACCTTGCACTTAAATGCAAAACTAGTAAACAAATTTGGGAACAAAGCTACAAACTGCTTAAAAACAATGAAATAGAGAATCCTCCAACCTCAGTAAAAGAAATAATTAATGCAAATAACATCCAAAA